ATGGTCTGTGTATTTGGAGCTGTAACTGTTTGGGTTGCTGAGAGAGGTTATCCAGTGACATTTTAATCGTCTTTCTGCCTTCTTTGGCTTGGCATTAGTGCTAATCTGTGCGATTAAAACTCAGGCAGTCCGACACTGGATGTACTGTCTCGTGGTGGTGGTTGTGTGCTTATTGCTGCTACAGCAGAGCAGGCAGTCTTTCATGTTGAAGGGTCAGATTGACTGTGGAAACTCAGGTTCTCAGGCAGTAGACGTTAGGGCGGTGGTATTCAAACTTTTTCAGCGGGGATTGTATTTTTCAAATTATCTTTCTCAATAACGTTTGTATATTGCCCTATAAAATAATCTGTACTCTTCATTTATGGTTCCCCACTGCAATTCCCCCGACTTTGAGTACCACTGTGTTAGGGGATGGTAGGGATGATGGGCTCTTAATATGCATAATGTAGCCTAGTTTCTCACTGCAACTGGGTGGAATTATTCTCACTAATCTATACTGTGCATCATATGCATTAAATTGAATTTGATTTATTGGACTGATATGATCTGTTTGTGTCATTTCTAAAAAGTAGGTGTAATCTGTACTGTATATCCTATTGTATACATATACATGTATTACTTTGCATACCTGCTTCTAATAACTTTTTTTTTTTTTAAAAAAAAAAAAAAATGTGTTATTATTCATATTGATTATTGTACTGCAATATTGAGGGAGCTAGCACACAAGAATTTCACTGCACCTTTTATATCTGCTGTAAACTGTGTATGTGACGAATACAATTTGATTTGATTTTATCTGAAATGTGTCAGTGGCTCTTTAATAACCTTTTACTGCAGTGGGCTAAATCAGGGTCACACAGTGTTTCTTGGTAGTCTTAAACAAATCTGCTTTGAAACCAAAGTATACACCTCACACACATGGTAATGGGTTTAAAAAAAGAAGACGGCTGTACCATGTCAGATATAGAGTTGAAATGTATTCAATTTGGAGTTTGCATCCTAATATTACACTATATATACATCACAGAAGACTGAAATAAACAAAACTGTTTGACATAGAAATACCAGATTTCCGGCTGTTAAAAAAATAAATATGTTTATTAATTATGAAATAATGAAAAATATTAATAACATTCCACCCATGAGGCCACTAGTCATTTGACTGCAGGAAAGGCTATGAAATTGTTGTTTGTGTATAGTATAGATTGAATCCTTACTTGAGGCTTGTAACTCACATTTTCACCCAAATCTCCCCTAACATCAATGCATGATTTTCAGTAGGTTTGCATTGACTGTCTGTGTGCATTTTGCCCTATGAGAACATGAATAGATGTTATAAAGGGATGTTATGTTATTTTTCTCTCTCTCGTTAACCAACCATCATCCCCTCTGGCTTCCTGATTAGCACTGCAGCTGTTCCTACATTGTAAGTGTGCTAAATGTGAATAGAAGCATAAAAACATTGTGTGTGTGTGTGTGTGTGTGTGTGTGTGTGTGTGTGTGTGTGTGTGTGTGTGTGTGTGTGTGTGTGTGTGTGTGTGTGTGTGTGTGTGCCCTCATTGGCACTCAAACACAGTAGTGTATGTTCCACAGTACTACAGTACATGTTCTAGCACTGTTTAATTTTCACATAGAACCAATGATGCACTGTTTAATTTTCACATAGAACCAATGATGCACTGTTTAATTTTCACATAGAACCAATGATGCACTGTTTAATTTTCACATAGAACCAATGATGCACTGTTTAATTTTCACATAGAACCAATGATGCACTGTTTAATTTTCACATAGAACCAATGATGCACTGTTTAATTTTCACATAGAACCAATTATGCACTGTTTAATTTTCACATAGAACCAATGATGCACTGTTTAATTTTCACATAGAACCAATGATGCACTGTTTAATTTTCACATAGAACCAATGATGCACTGTTTAATTTTACAATGGGACAGACACAGTCCATACGGGCTGCTCCGACAGGCATTCTGTGAATTTGACGTCTGTCTAAAATATACACCACTCACAGAACACTTTTCATGTCCAAAGATATCTGTGACTTAGAACCATACCAAACATCCTCATACTAATAACATGTCATCTGTGATGATATCTTTGTCATGTCATTTTTAGCCACGTTCTGATTAAGCCTACAGCTCTTGGAAGAACAAATCACCCCTCTTCCTGTAGTGAAATTCCTTCCTCAGTTCTTTCTAGGGGGTCAGCTGTTTTAGCCATAATGAGAAAGCGAGTATGGATACATGTGATGTTGTTTTGGTTGCTATATTTGATCTGAATTGGATTTGCTTCCTCTTAGTTACCCAGGTCTTTGTCTGCTCGGGACATGAGAGGAGTCTACTGTTGTGCTGGTCATGTAGGGATATTAAAGTCTGCCTGGTTCCTCTGTTTATAGACCTGGACACCCTGCAGTGTTGATGGGTCAACTACAGCTCATTTAGGGAGTGTGGAAAGTCTGGGGATATATTGATAGAACCTTTCCTCCTCCCACTTGGCTATATGTGTTACACATGCTGCTGTTGGATACTGTAGGTCAGATATGATCATTTACTTGGTAATGAACAGACAAGTTCTTAGTTTTTCCAGTCTTCAGCTCAGACCTCTCTCGATTCCCAAAGACAATTAGGACAATCCAATCAAGGTTGCTTTGCTTCAAGGCTGTTCTCTTCTCACGACATCCCTCCCCTCTCTGTGTGTCATATGGTACGGTGACGGTGTGGCCGTGTTGTACAGAATGTCACAGTGTTGTCATGCTGTTTCAGCTCAACTCACCTCCCAGGATCCACTATTGTTGTCACCCTGACACACTTTAGCTCAGATAATGTGAATTAGAATGGGAAGCAGACAGTGCTGAATGATGAGGGAGGATTTTGAAGTCTAGACACTCAGAAGTTAGTTGGGCACTCAGAAGTTTTGGTAGCATGGTGCATGCACATGTAAGTCTGACACCAGTCAGCTAAGCCCAGCCTAGCTGTAAGTCTGACACCAGTCAGCTAAGCCCAGCCGAGCTGTAAGTCTGACACCAGTCAGCTAAGCCCAGCCGAGCTGTAAGTCTGACACCAGTCAGCTAAGCCCAGCCTAGCTGTAAGTCTGACACCAGTGAGCTAAGCCCAGCCTAGCTGTAAGTCTGACACCAGTCAGCTAAGCCCAGCCGAGCTGTAAGTCTGACACCAGTGAGCTAAGCCCAGCCTAGCTGTAAGTCTGACACCAGTCAGCTAAGCCCAGCCGAGCTGTAAGTCTGACACCAGTGAGCTAAGCCCAGCCTAGCTGTAAGTCTGACACCAGTCAGCTAAGCCCAGCCGAGCTGTAAGTCTGACACCAGTGAGCTAAGCCCAGCCTAGCTGTAAGTCTGACACCAGTCAGCTAAGCCCAGCCTAGCTGTAAGTCTGACACCAGTGAGCTAAACCCAGCCGAGCTGTAAGTCTGACACCAGTGAGCTAAGCCCAGCCGAGCTGTAAGTCTGACACCAGTGAGCTAAGCCCAGCCGAGCTGTAAGTCTGACACCAGTGAGCTAAGCCCAGCCGAGCTGTAAGTCTGACACCAGTGAGCTAAGCCCAGCCGAGCTGTAAGTCTGACACCAGTGAGCTAAGCCCAGCCGAGCTGTAAGTCTGACACCAGTCAGCTAAGCCCAGCCTAGCTGTAAGTTAGGAGGTAACCACATACCATGAGCACTGAATAAAGCACTGAATAGAGGCCCATAGGCTTCCCCAGGACCACCCACTCACACCCCATCCACCCCAACCCAGCCCTGGCTCAGACCTCTGCCCACTCATTCACTGCCCACTAAGGCTGTTTCCCGGGTGAGCTGTGCCAGTTGGTGTGCCCTTGAATGAGACAGCGCCCTGCTAAGCACACTCAGATCCCGGGATTACAGTGAGGGGTTTAGTAGGGGGAGGAGTCTGAAATGTGAAACTGTTGTGTGTTGTTGCTGTGTACATAATGCCATGCTATCATGCAGCATGCTGTGGTTTTGTGTGACGGAAGCCCAGGGAAGTTCAGCTGTGGAAACTATTTCTGGTCGCGCGGCCGTGCTGAGTGCACTCCCGTTTCTTGTTTTTAGATAATTCCAATTGAAATTCTAGCTTGTGCTTCAGCAAATAACTAAAGGATTAAACATTTTATCACCGCTTTCACAGCCAATAGCGTGACAGACATGAAACATTTAAACAACGAGCAGCCGGGATTGATGAAATGGAATTAATCGTACCCAGATTGTACTTTAAATTGAACCTAGATATTTTTGAGTTGTTGCAGCGTTCTAAAGTTCTCAACCAGCAGTTTGTATTTTACTATGATACTTCAAGCTAAAGTAATTTGTTGATTGGGACTGTAGTTGGATTAATAAACCAAGTCCATCATGTCAAATTAACTAAAACAACATTCTCCTATCAGCTCCGATATATTTGTGATATACTATTCTAACGGTCAGATAGTCCACTTGGAATACATGTTGTTTATGTGTCTGTTGACAGTTATATTGCTGTAAGGAGGATTTGCCCATGTGGACGTTTTCTCAGCGAGAGCTTATCACTGTATTACCACACCATTATATGACTGTAATTTCCAGATAAAGCATGTCTGCTTTGCCCTGGGCACTGTTAGGCCCTGTTTAGTCTCTCATTATGGTTCGTCAAATAAATATCCTACAATAGCCAGTTGAAAAGGGCAATGCTTGAATGGACTCTTTAAGAGGAGGCTGTACTTGGCCTTCAAGTATACATTCCTCCAGCTCAGTGCTCCCTCTGTGGTCCTGCTCCCCTCCCCTCCCCTCCCCTAGCCCTCCCCCTCCCTCGTACTCACCACTTCGTTCCCACAGGGGCCCTCGCCAAAGCAAACTCCTGAGAGGAAGTCTCCCCCTCCCTTTTTCTCCCCCTCCCTCTTTCCCTCTTTCACTCTTTCACTCGCTCCCTTCTAAGAGGGGCCATGTTGGGTAGTTTAGGCTAGGATTGCATTGGAGCCCAGTGAGGGTAATGTATTCATGGCATGTGGTGTGTAGCCAGGCTAGGAGGACGTATGAGGAAAGTGTTATGGCTGTGATGCTGTGTCTGTGTGGCCTGGTTATGGCTGTGATGCTGTGTCTGTGTGGCCTGGTTATGGCTGTGATGCTGTGTCTGTGTGGCCTGGTTATGGCTGTGATGCTGTGTCTGTGTGGCCTGGTTATGGCTGTGATGCTGTGTCTGTGTGGCCTGGTTATGGCTGTGATGCTGTGTCTGTGTGGCCTGGTTATGGCTGTGATGCTGTGTCTGTGTGGCCTGGTTATGGCTGTGATGCTGTGTCTGTGTGGCCTGGTTATGGCTGTGATGCTGTGTCTGTGTGGCCTGGTTATGGCTGTGATGCTGTGTCTGTGTGGCCTGGTTATGGCTGTGATGCTGTGTCTGTGTGGCCTGGTTATGGCTGTGATGCTGTGTCTGTGTGGCCTTGTTATGGCTGTGATGTGGTGGTGTTAAATAAAGACAGTATGGCTCCTCTCCTGTGAGATCAGTGTCAGATTTAGCCAGCAGGTCTCTTGTGGTGTCTGGGAGGGTCTGTTTTCTGACTCTGTGATGTCTAAGGCTCCACGTCTTCCTGGAGCTGCAAACCTCAGGGTAGAAATAGTACCAGACAGAAAGCTTTTGTTGGGAAAACAACAGCAATGGCAGTAATTACAGACTCCGGTTTCGCCACTCCTCGCATCTTAGAAAACCACAAGCAGGTGAAGGGGTCGAGTCATCGAGTCATCGTGGGGTCAGCTAGAGGTCTGGGTTAAATGCCCCTGAGCATTAACCTCAATGTCTGCTGCTTCTGATTGCGTGCGTGTGTGTGTGTGTGTGTGTGTGTGTGTGTGTGTGTGTGTGTGTGTGTGTGTGTGTGTGTGTGTGTGTGTGTGTGTGTGTGTGTGCGCGCCTGCGTGCGCCTGCGTGTGTGTGGTTAGACACTTAGAGAGGAAACAGATATGTGTGAGTCAGGGAGGGAGACATGAGATGCGTGTCCAGACAACCACAGTTATGCCCTATGCACTTGGGCCTTGTGATAACACAACTGCTTTATGATTATAGCTTTATGGGCCAGAGGCACAGCTAGAAATGACAAGGTTGTGTGGCGTGTTTTAGTCTGAGTGCCATCGTACGGTAGACTGAGGCAGGCAGTGCAGTGTGAGACCTGACTGACAACTACTTCCTCCCCCTCAGTGGAGGCTGGTGACGGGAGGACGGCTCATAATAATGTCTGGAACGGAGCGAATGGAATGGATTCAAACACATGTTTGATATATTTGATACCATTCCACTGATTCCGCTCCAGTCACTACTACGAGCCCGTCCTCCCCAATTAAGGTGCTACCAACCTCCTGTGCTCCCCCTTGTGTTACACTTGAATTTAGTGGATTCTGCTATTTCAGCCACTCCCGTTGCTGACAGGTGTATAAAATCGAGCATACCGCCATGCAATCTCCATAGACAAACATTGGCAATAAAATGGCCTTACTGAAGAGCTCAGTGACTTTCAGTAACTGCCCTGGTCAACTGTAAGTTGTGTTATGTGAAATGGAAACGTCTAGGAGCAACAACGGCTCAGCCTTGAAGTGGTAGGCCACACAAGCTCAGAGAACGAGACCGCCGAGTGCTGAAGCGCGTAAAGATCGCCTGTCCTCGGTTGCAACACTCACTACTGAGTTCCAAACTTCCTCTGGAAGCAACGTCAGCACAATAACTGTTTGTTGGGAGCTTTCTGAAATGGGTCTCCGTGGCCGAGCAGCCACACAAGCCTAAGATTGCCAAGCGTCGGCTGGAGTGGTGTAAAGTTCGCCGCCGTTGGACTTTGGAACAGTGGAAACGTGTTCTCTGGAGTGATAAATCACGCTTCACCATCTGGCAGTCCGACGGACTAATCTGGGTTTGGCTGAATGGAAGCAAGTCCCCGCAGCAATGTTCCAACATCTAGTGGAAAGCCTTACCAGAAGAGTGGAGGCTGTTACAGCAGCAAAGGGGGCACCAAATCCATATAATACCCATGATTTTGGAATTAGATGTTTAATGAGCAGGTGTCCACAAACTTTTGATCATGTTCATGTAGTGTATTTTCCATTCATACCTATGTAGTATATACTTTTATGATACATCCCCTGTATATTTAAGGAATAAGGCCAGAGGAGGTGTGGTATATGGCCAATATACCACGGCTAAGGGCTATTCTTATGCATGACACAACACGGAGGTAAACATATCGTCATCCTGACACAGACCTCTCACACTGCCTAGGTAAACATATCGTCATCCTGACACAGACCTCTCACACTGCCTAGGTAAACATATCATCATCCTGACACAGACCTCTCACACTGCCTAGGTAAACATATCATCATCCTGACACAGACCTCTCACACTGCCTAGGTAAACATATCGTCATCCTGACACAGACCTCTCACACTGCCTAGGTAAACATATCGTCATCCTGACCACAGACCTCTCACACTGCCTAGGTAAACATATCATCATCTGCACACAGACCTCACACAGACGCTCTCACAACTCCTGGTAAACATCGTCATCCTGACCCAAGACCTCTCACACTGCCTAGGAAACATATCATCATCCTGACACGACCTCTCACACTGCCTAGGTAAACATATCATCATCCTGACACAGCAGACCTCTCACACTGCCTAGGTAAACAAAATATCATCATCTTACACAGACCTCTCACACTGCCTAGGTACACCTATGTCTCCTGACACAGACTCTCACAACTGCCTAGGTAAACATATCCTCATTCTAACGCAGACCTCTCACACTGCCTAGGTAAACAATTCCTCATCCTAAACGCATGCAGACCTCCTCACACTGCCTAGGTAAACATATCCTCATCCTAACGCAGACCTCTCACACTGCCTAGGTAAACATATCCTCATCCTAACGCAGACCTCTCACACTGCCTAGGTAAACATATTATCATCCTAACGCAGACCTTTCACACTGCCTAGGTAAACATATCCTCATCCTGACAAGTGCAGACCTGAGGGCAAGGGCTAGATTACTCCATCTCACCACAGGAGCCAGGGTCCCAGAGCTGCACACAACCTGTTTCAACACTGCCTCTTCCTGGATCAATGTCACATGGCCAAACATGCCGCTATGTGTGGCCCCTTTGCTCAGTGAGAAAGAGAGAGAGAAAGAAAAGGGGAGAGAGAGAGAGAGAGACAAGGAGAGAGAGAGAGATAGAGAGAGAGAGAGAGAGAGAGAGAGAGAGAGAGAGAGAGAGAGAGACAAGGAGAGAGACGTTATGTTAGGTAGTCCCTCCTAACAGTACCATCATCTTGCTCAGCAGGAAACTTTGCGTGACTCTACGATCCGTGCCGAGGTGTAGCAGCACTGGCAAAACATTTTACTCTAGTTGTCCATCAGTTTCCAGCGCCATTACTCTGCTCTTTATAGTTCTCTCAGCCCTCTCTCCCACACAGAGCAGAGAGCAGCTCCACTGCACCTAATGGTGCGGTGCGGTATGGTGTAGCTCTGCTGGCTGCCATCCAGACCAGCCTTGTTGTCTGCTACTCCCAGCCTAGACACACACAGAACAGAGCCTCCAGCTCTTATAGACACATCTACTGCTGCCCTCACACACTGGCATAGGTCCACTAGCTGATGTTGTATGGATGAGAGTATTTGGACACATGGATGTTTTCTCTGGAATACACCATCAAGTTAGATGATGAACAGTATCAAACACCTCTGAAGGGGATGTTGTGTAAAGAGTGTTGGGTCAGTAACCGAAAGGATGCTTGGTTCGAATCCCCGGGCCGACTTGGTGAATAATCTGTTGATGTGCCGTTGAGCAAGGCACTTAACCCTAATTTCTCCTGTAAGTCGCTCTGGATAAGAGTGTCTGCTAAATGACGTGAATGTATGGAGGACTTGTACAGTATAAGGAAGTCCACTCCAGTAGATTCCTGTGGATGTTGATAATGAATGGTCTCTTTCTCTTTTCTATATAGTCTCACAGCCCAGTTCCAGTTCCAGCCAAGAAGTCCAAACTGGAGAAACTACACTCTCCATCACCTGACAAAGAGAAGCAATCTGATTGGTTACAATCTCTATCAAAGTCAGCGAACAAGGTTAGTAGCTCATGATTTTCTTCAAGGTCAGGGGGATCCTACAGATGTAGGGTCTTAATTTGAGCCAGTTTGCTGAAAATAATCCTGCAGCTACAGGAAATGTGAATTATTATGTGGATTATAATTAACATACATTTTTGGTAGGGGTTGATACATTTTTCATTAGGACAAATCAAGTCTGACATTTTGAAGTGGAAATTACAAACTTTAGAAGCCTTTTTAAACCTTTAATACACAACACGTTTGCATTTCCTGCTGTGTAGGAAAGTTCTCAGCAACAAAAGAGTGATCAAATTAAGATCCTACATCTGTATACAGAGTCCGTGTCTAATTGATTGTGTTACCTTACCTTATACAGTTGTCAATCGTCTTTTTACAAACCAGTCTGCCTTATGAAATATGATTTCACTGTACCTTTCCAGGGATGTTTTTCAAATTCCCCATTTCACTGTATTATATTGTATGAATTCTATATTTTTCAGGATCTGAAACCGGTCCAGCTCAAACAGAGACTGTCAGCCTTCCGCCCGTGGTCCCCCAGAAGTCCATCTGCTGAGAAGGAGAAGTCTACTAGTCACAATAAGAGGTCAGTCAGAGACAGACAGTCATGTTGTCATAGTTTCACTCATCCATTTCACCACACCACACTAAAGGAGTGTTTGGCTGTAACATTCCTATGGGATTAATGTAATGATGGCCAATAACTACATTGTCCATTGCTATGATCCCTTACTTCATATTGTTGAAATACAGTAAATAAGGTAACTTGCATTTTCTTGTCATAACAGATTAGTCCACAAAAACGTAGACACGTCTGTAGTGCCGAATGTGGCCCCAGCTCCATTGGCCTACCAGAGAGAGGAGCAGGCCCCAGTGGGCCACAGCCAGGCTCCAGGCAGGGAAGACCAGCACATCAGCTCCAGACCAGCACCACAGTGTGGAGACTCACAGCCTGGGCCCAGACCTGTCCACATCAACACCAACACTAATAACACAGCCAACGGTGTGGAGGACATGGAGACTGACGGGGAGATTGAGGTGGACAACTGTGATGACTGTGAGTATGACACACTGTTGTGCAGACATTCTGTAGGAAAAATAGGGCACCATGACACAAACTACTCCAACTCTCAAGGACAGGCAACCTAACCCGAGCTAATACGATTGGAAGAAGGCTATGGTTAGATGGCCTGATCCCTGTGAGAGACTACCATCTAGTGGTTGGTCTGTGCAGCACTAGCACAGAGCACAGTCTCAACTCACTGTCACTGCTGTTCCAATACTTTTTTAGGCTTCCCTCTATTAAAGGCCTGGTGCAGTCAAAAATTTGATTTTCCTCTGTTTTATATATATTTCCACAATATGAAGTTGGAATACTGTGAAATTGTGAAAGTTATGTTAATACCATTTTAGTGTAAGAGCTGTTTGAAAAGACCCGCCTGAAATTTCAGCCTGTTTTGGTGGGATGGAGTTTTGACCTGCCTGGTGACATCACCAGGCAGTAAATTAGTTAATAGACCAATAAGAAAGAGAGTTCCAAACCTCTCTGCCAATAACAGCTAGTTTTCCCCTCCCCACTCAGACCACTCTGAGACAGCCCTAGCTAAATTATTGCTTGAGAAATTGTTCTTTGCTAAGAAGCTATCTTGTTTTCTTTTGACCATGTTAATTGAATGCAATCACAGTGAGATACTTAATTATTACCCAGAAATGATTTGATATTGAGATAAAATGGCTGCATTGGATCTTTAACATAATGTTTTATTTTTCTGTCTTTCAGACCCACCATCGGTCCCCTCCTTGGCATCTCCTCCCTCTGCCTGCTCCAGTGTGTCCCAGACCCTGACCACCCAGAGCACCGTGAGGCCCCTGGAGGGCCCAGTCCAGCTGTTATTACCAGGGGCCCCGTCATGCCCAGAGCTGGACACATTGAGACAGACCCTGTATGGATGCCTGGACTCCAAGGAGGCCAGGGAGAAGTTCCTACAGGAGATTGTTAAGATGAGAGTGAAGCAGGAAGAGAAACTGGGGGTGGCGCTGCAGGCCAAACGCAGTCTTCAGCAGGTAAACCTCCCACTCAAGATCCAAAATGTCCGACCTTTGGCACAAAAATGAAAACAGTTTATTTATTGGTAGAGACATCATCTTTAGGACACAACAGAATATATATTTTTTAATTACCCCACAGGAGCTGGAGTTTGTGAGGATGTCCAAGAAGGGGCGTCTTCGAGAGGCCATCGAGGCCAAGCGCAACCTGAGGAAAGAGATAGAGCACCTGCACATGGAGTGGGACAGGAAGATGAGGGAAGCTGATGAGACCCGTGACCATCTGAAAAGAGAGCTGGAGAGAGAGATACAGATACGAGTCTGCGACAAAGGCTGTGAGGCTGAACGCCTGCGAGCCAAGTACTCCACACAGGTGAGAAAGAACCAAGATCCTAATAATATAGCCTACATACTTAGGATATCATACAGAAAGAATCACACACACACACACACACACACATACATAATTAACTGTAGTTGAGTCAATGTATATGCTCCCTGACTGATGTGTATGTTCCTTTCCAGATTGAGGAGCTGCAGGTTCAGCTGCAGCAGGCAGAGGCGGACCGGGAGCAGCTGAGAGAGGAGCTGCAGCAGGAGAGGGAGGCGCGGCAGAGCCTGGAGAGGGTGGTCAAGGACTTGCAGGCTCAGCTGGGAGGCCCACAGGACACCCCCATGACCCCCCAACACACTAACACAGAGACATACAGACAGACATAACACCCCAACGGATCCTAAAGGCGCATGCAGTGGACTGGACCCAGAGACTTAATGCAAGAGGGTGGATACAGACTGGATTGTGCCTCTTGTTAAGGGAAAGAAATTCAGCAAATTAAAGATGTTTGTGGGAGCAAAGTCAAGATGTTTTCATAGTATGAAAAGTACATCTTATGGTTACTGATATGGTTACTGATATGATAGAAATTGACATTATTATAATAATATATGAACTTCATAAGATGAACTGGATAGAAGCATGAATACGCATGATGTACAGCCTACAGATGATAAGAAATAAACTCCATAGAAGACACCTCACAAGTGACTTTAGAGCCCTCAGTCAGATTCCTGAAGCTGTTCAAGGATTTCCTTTTGGTATAAGCTATTTAAAAATGTAGAAATATAGCTACATAATGTTACTTGAATATAAAAGAGGAGTGATTGTTTTCATGAAATGACAGCAGCAGATGCAACTCTTGCTAGTGCCACACAATCTCGGTACACTTTAAGGTATTACAAACCACTGAAAACAATGGACACCAGTTGACCACTATTTACTTCATTCAATCGATCAGTTTGCTTAATTCTAATGTTTTCATTTTGAGGTTGTACAGGAAATGTTGCATGAGCAGCACTGCTATTCTACAGGCAATGCTCACATACATACATATTTACACATTCACATACGAACATATGGGCCTATGTATACCAGCTTCTCTACCGTGTGTATTTGTGTTCTTGTATTTAAAGCCTGAAGTATTTGGGATTGTGTGGTCTGGAATCAGTTCCACACACCTTTTGTTCTCATCTTAAATATTTTATGAAAGTGTTACTTTTTACAATCCTTACACAACTTAATTTGTTTTGTTTTTAAATTGTTTTGAGATACAGTATATTGTGTATGACACCAAACATTGTGACAAATGTTTAAATGTGCTTGCCCATGCTAGAATGGAGTTCCGCCCGGTAAATATGTTACCCACATAAAACAACTTTGATAAAACTTTCTCTTTGGTGAATTGAGGTATTTCCAGTTTTGTATCGAGTACTGTAAAATAATTTATATTCCGAAATATTTTCATGCTTGTCAATTATATGCAGCATTCGTTTTTAGTCACTGGTTTTAGGGCTCTTTGAAAAAGCAACATGTGCTGTTTATATGAACGACATTTCTACATATATACAAAATATGGATCTATTTTTTTACTTTACAAAAAGGAATTGCACTTTTTAAAAATACAATTGCATTGATACAGACACACGCATTTAACTCCCTCTTATGTTTTTCAACTCACAAATTAACATGAACATAGAATTGAACAACATCATTTAATGACCTCTTGTGTAAATACAACGTTTAAGGATGATATTGTAAATACGATTTTTGTCGATAAGTTTGCTTGCTTCACACCTAAATTGCATATGAATATCATTTAGACTCTTACTTGAAACCAATAGAAACTCTATATTTGAAATGTTTATATTTTAGTTTCATTATTGTTCCCCTTCGATATCATCTGAAATCAATGGGCATTTATTAGAATGGATTATGGATAGAGAACATAAGCTTAAATATTGGTAATTGACCAATCAGTGGTCTTTGTGAGATGTAGACAAAAACAGAGAGAGAACATTTCAAATGTGCTCTTTATTTTCTTTCATCAAGGAGCATTTTCAGAAAATATATCTTATTTGATGTATCGTTAAGTGTCTACCAAAACCCTTACCAAAATCGATACCTGAAGACGATATCTCAGCATCAATTCCTTTATCAGGTTTCCCAATGCTAAAGCTCCTATTAGGATAAATATTACACCTTCTCTTGGTTTCATTCCTAGGTGCTCTCTGATGTATTGTAGAAGAAAAGACTTTTATGTCTTATATACCAGCTACTATTATTATCTCCCCACTGAATACCTGTTGGGTACAATGTAATGACATTATACATTGTGTTTATGCTCTTGTTGTAGTTTTGTTTTGGAAGTGGGGTTTGTTTTTGCCGCTTGTTTCAGTGTATATTTTTTCTTTGGAAAACCTGTATAATACTCATTAAAAATCAAATCAACCATATTCACTATTGTGTTTTATATTTTATTACAGTCAGTGAGTGAGTTACACAAAGTGTAACACTGTTATGTATTCATATCTAAGAAACAGGGATAATTTTAAGGCGCAATTTGTAACTTCTTCATCCTCTGTGGATATGGGATAAAATGCAAAATAATTGATGCTCAGACAAAAACACACACACATACAGTATACAAAAACAAACATAAGCCAATCAGTGTGCAGAACATTCACAAAGACCATCCTCATTAGTCCTGTCGAGTCAATACATTTTTTTTTTTACCATAGATTATATTGTAGATTGCACCTGTTAATTAAAGACTTTGTTATCACTGATAGGTAAGTGTGTGTTTTTCATAATACAGACACCTAAAATACACAGCACAGAAAGATCCCTTTCATGTTAGTGTTATTACCTGCTGATTGCGTGGTAGTAATTGTTTATTGAGGGAAGTGCCCACAGTCTGCTGAGAAGGGGAGAGTTAGGCCTAGATTAAATCCGATCAAGCGTTAACCAGCAATAGCAGACACCCGATAGCAGGCACCCGCATAGCGGATGTTTTGGCGGCGTTGGAGGTAGAACTGCGTTGGAGCCGTCAAATTGGTGAGCAGCTGCCATTGCGATAATTTTCACGAAGCCACACCCACCCCACTGGAATTAGAAGTTCAGAACGAGAAAGTAAGTGTAGGTTATATAGAAATAATAAAATAATAAACTAAATGAGGATTTCTATAATCTTAATCGAGGTGTAGATTACATCTCACATTCCAGTGTTCGTACTTGCTGCATGGGATTTCTCTTAACGTGACTCCGTGCAGCCAATGGCAATGTCCACTTTAGGTATTATGCCAGGAGCCGCTTATGCGGATGTCGGCTAAAGGGGATCTGATTGAATAGAGCCCTTAATCTCATTTGTTTGACTGCAGCCTACACTCATAGTCATGCAACAAAAACTAACATCACATTCTTATCTGGGAGTGTCTTGGATATTCTGCATTCATCTACTCTATTGGACTCCCATTTTTTTGCCACTGAGTGAACATTCCTTTCCCATCACAACTCTTTCCCTTTCTTTAAGAGCATATTGTTAGTGTGAAAATCCCTCTTGGAAGGCAAGGCAGTGGCCTGCCTTAGCCCAGGATTACAGTTTGAGGAAGATTTAAGGGTTGACACGTGCTGCACACGTTTCCTCTCACTGCCACTTAGTGCATAACGCACTTGTGTGCACCGTAATGGATGCCTCACTGGGACCTCTGCTGTGGAATGTTTGATGAAGAATGGGATTGAATGGAGCAAACAGGCGCCTTCACTCCCTGTCCTATGTCTAGTCCTTCTGGAAACACACATATAAACTGAGGTGGTGGACCTAATAAGCTTTTTAACCATGCGTGAGAAAGAGGATTCTGAAAATGGATTTACTTCCTGGATTATGGTATGGTAGGGAGTTTGTCTTGTCTTCAGGATATTAGTTTTGGATTGAACCACAGTCCAACTGGAGAGAGGAAGGCTGTGTGAGGGTGACACAGATGCTGGGTAGAGGACATGAGCAGGAAGCAGGTGTGTAGACCTAGCTAAATGATCTGTGCAGGAATGAACGTCAACTCAGCCATGGCACCGCTATCTCCAGGACTTTCTCCAGGACTGAGCTCCAACTCCACCCCACCAATGGCACCTCTATCTGGGCTGACTCCCACCAACACCCCACCGATGGCAGTGATATCTCCAAGACTGAGTCCCACCAACACCCCACCGATGGCAGCGATATCTCCAAGGCTGAGCCTCACCACCACCCTGGTGATGGCTCCCTCATCTCCCTTGTCTCCTGGACTGTTCTCCCCCTCTCTGTCCTCTCTGATCCCGGGGAGAAGGGCCTCCTCCCCCTTCAGCAGGTCCTCCTGCAGGTCCCCCAGCCCATCCATCATGACGTCCCCAAAGCTGTGGCAGAAAACCTCCATCTCCAGACTGGCAGAGGAGTTCTTCTGGATTGGTGGAAGCATTATAGCACAACCCAAATGGGGACTGGGTCAATATGGTAAGCTACTGATGGAGATATGATATTTGAAATATTTTTGTTTTTGTCTTCCCTCAAATGAGCTATTTACTTATTTGTGGGGGGGAAACCCACTGCTTTAAGTCATTAGCCATTGAGTGTCAACGAAATTGACAAAATAAGGATTATAACCTGCATATGGGAGCATACAGTGCCTTCAGAAAGTTCACAACCCCTTGACTTGTTCCACATTTTGTGGGATTAAAATTGATTTAATTATCTTATTTTTTTAAATGATCTACACAAAATATTCTGTAATTTCAAGGTGGAAGAAAAATTCTAACATTTGTAAAAAAAATATATATATATACACAGTGGGGGGAAAAAGTATTTAGTCAGCCACCAATTGTGCAAGTTCTCCCACTTAAAAAGATGAGAGAGGCCTGTAATTTTCATCATAGGTACACGTCAACTATGACAGACAAAATGAGAGAAGAAAAATCCAGAAAATCACATTGTAGGATTTTTTATGAATTTATTTGCAAATATGGTGGAAAATAAGTATTTGGTCAATAACAAAAGTTTCTCAATACTTTGTTATATACCCTCTGTTGGCAATGACACAGGTCAAACGTTTTCTGTAAGTCTTCACAAGGTTTTCACACACTGTTGCTGGTATTTTGGCCCATTCCTCCATGCAGATCTCCTCTAGAGCAGTGATGTTTTGGGGCTGTCGCTGGGCAACACAGACTTTCAACTCCCTCCAAAGATTTTCTATGGGGTTGAGATCTGGAGACTGGCTAGGCCACTCCAGGACCTTTGAAATGCTTCTTACGAAGCCACTCCTTCGTTGCCCTGGCGGTGTGTTTGGGATCATTGTCATGCTGAAAGACCCAGCCACGTTTCATCTTCAATGCCCTTGCTGATGGAAGGAGGTTTTCA